AGGAAAAGAAACAAATCTCTCCAAGGTCATGGCCTTCTGTTAAGCCATAAAGCATGATATATTTCAGGTCATTAGGGCACGTCACGGCAGCGTGTCCCCACTTTGTCTAGCTTGTCAGCCTCCCTCAGGGATGACCAGGACAGAGACAAGGTCCTTTAGGGACGAGGAGCGGGGGAGGATGTCAGAGGGTTCTTAGGGCTCCCGGCGCCCATTCTTTCTGCGACATGCGTTTTTATTTCTGTTTCCAGGCTGAAAAGTGTGATCGGCATGGGAACTGGAGCCGGTGCCTATATCCTCACTCGATTTGCTGTGAGTTCCTAGGCATTTTTTTTAAATTACCTTTTAAATAAAATTAATTCAGGATGAAGGAAGAAAATTGGAGAAACATCAAAAATTCCAAAAGGAAAAAAAGAAATGACCCATCATTCCATTTCCTAAGGGAGAGCCACAGTTCACATTGTGGTGTGTGGTCCAGAGGAGGGTGTGTGTGTGTGTGTGTGTGTGTGTATTACATACATACTGACAGCTTTTCTGTTTCCTTCACTGAAATGCCATACTAGATACGTTCTTTTATCATTGGCTTTGTGCACGTAGCAAAAGTCCCCATGTCGCTGAGGATTCTCCTGTGCTACTTCTGAGATTCTCAGGGAACTCTGGGATCCTGACTAATTCTAAATGAGAATCAGAGATACATGTGTTAACATGACAGTTGTCACGTTACTACGGGCCCAAGTCGGGTGCCACTGGATCCTTTGTATCAGTACCGAACAATTGTTTAAAAGTGCAGCAATGCTCATTGTGATCAGCCGTATGTATTCTGACTGCCTAGTATTTTCTGGACTTTGCTAGAGGTTAAAAATGCTGACATGAATACACAGTGGTCTGAATAAGGTCTCACCTGTATCATGCATACATATATATATATATATATGTTCTTTTAGAAGTAATGGGATCCTTACTGATTACTACAGAACATTTATAAGCCTGTCTGATGATGAGGTTGATGGTCTGATAGGCCTATTTCACAGCTGGGAATGCTGAGGGCAGCGAGGTGAAGTGACTTGTCCAAGGCCGGTCTGCTGAGCACATGTATTTCTGTTTTTCCGCTTTCCGATCGATCCCTCAGGGACCCAATCCTGTGTCCACTGAGCTGGGACCTGTTTTGCCCAGGGTGGGTGGGTTGCCGAAGACTCTTTGAGAGCAGCAGCCTGCTCAGGTGGCTCACGCAGGCCCTTTTCTGGCCTTTTTCTCCATCTTTGAGATGACTTTTAAAGTCCATAGTATCTCAGATTGCTGGGTTGCCTCTCTTACCTCGTGTCTTGAATTGCAGCTGAACAACCCTGAGATGGTGGAGGGNGGCTATTCTTTGAGATGAAAAGTCAGGAATTAGGGAGGTTCCACAGAGGATAGAGGGTAGATATAGACTCAGGGCTTGGAGGAGCCTGTGTGTTATACGACATTAGTTCTCTGCCCAAGGAAACTTGATGAAACTGACCATCTCTCTGTCTCTCTACAGACCATCACCGGCCTCCTGCAAGAGTTTGATGTTCAGGCAAGTAGAGGATGTGCACTCCCATTCCCCTTCCCGACTCTGTTCTCTCTTTCCTTCTTCCTTCCATTGGCTCGAAGTAGATCGTTGTCCAGACACTGGGGTCGAGGGCAGAGAAGGAGCTAGTTTCCTCCACTCAGATCCTCCTCTCCGGATGGAAGCTGGCTTGAGTTCTGGCCAAGGAAGCCTATCACTCCTTGCAGAAGCAGGATGGGGACACAGCCCGCTTTGACCCTTCAGAGCTAGGCAGAGCTATGGGGTGTGTGCAGCGGGGAATGGGGAGACATCGGATGGCCTTGGGCCCCTGAGGGAACAGAAGCAAAGGCTTGATGTTGTTGATTCTGCTTAAGAAAATGAAACCAACCTTCTCTGTGGCTTCCTGGCTCCACCCCTGCCCAGGGTTGGCTGAGGTGGGGGGGTGAGAGGGTGGAGGGAGGGGCCTGTGCATCTTGAGTTTTGTCCAAGAACAAACTTTCAGGAGAGTGGACTTGCCTCTCTTGGCTGAGGGGCAGGTTAGAGCCTCAGGAACTGTAAACCCTGGACTCATTAATTATCTCAAACTTTGCGTGGGACCCAGCTCCGGGGCTGGGACAGGTAACCTGAGCACAGTGGGGTCTCGTAGGCTTCCCCGAGAAGAGAAGAGAGGAGCACACATGGGCCAGACGCAGGCTGGCATGCTCACCTGAACTCCTTGCACATCACACAGGTATCCCCGGCTTCCAGCCCATTCTGAGCGCCGTATCTCTGTCACCTATCCCGCCCCCTTCCCCCAGAACAACTCCACTCTTCCTCCTGAATCTTGGATGTCAGTGATTGGCCCACCATCCATCCAGAGGCTGGGAATGTTGGCACTGACTTTGGAAGGAAGGGGAGAAAGTGGGGGGGGGGATGGAACCGTTGGCTGGAGCAAGATCATGGTTGCCTTGAACACCACACATGAGGTGTGTGGGCCTTAGTGTGTTCAAGCGTCATCCTGGCTGTGCCAAGCTGTACCTAGAACCCATTCTGACCTCGGGGACCCCTGGGGTACGTTCTAAGTATTCGCCTCTGTGTGGCCATTTGTTCTTTGAGACCAGCATGTCCCCACTGTGTAACATTGAGGTGTTCAGAACACACTTATTAAGCCATCATGTGCACCAGCCAGGCCCTGGACACCCAGACAAGCATGTGGCACCTTCACTCTGCAGGGGACACCCCACTTAACCCTAACGGCCCTTTAAAGTAGGGATCCTTGTCTCCGTTCTTAAAGCTGAGGAACTGAGGCTCAACGAGGTTGAGGGTGCCTGGTCCTTGGTCGGGACTCGACGATGCCCCATGGAGAGGAGAGGCTCTGGTGCCCTCTGCGCGTGGGGCTGGGTGGGCTGCCCGAGGGACACGGTTTGATCTGGCTTTGCAGGGAAGGCTCTGGCATCGGGTTCTAGGCAGTTGTGTTTGCAAATTTAATGAGTGGAGTAGGTGGGAGTATTTTGGGTTCTGGCTTCTTTTCTTTGGCTAGGATTCTAGAATCCAAGAATATCAGAGCTGGCAGGTGCTTTATGACCCAGCCCTACCCCTTCTGCTCCAGGCAGGGAGGCTTTGTTGAAGGCCACTGAGTGGAGGGGAGGGGAGGGGAGGGAGTGAGTGAATATTTGCATGCCCACTCATTGTCTTGGCAGTGGCTCCCTTGCCAAGGTGGGGAGTGCTACCCTCCTTTGCAGATGACAAACCAGTTGGGAGATGTTCAGAAACTTGCCAAAGGGCACTGTTGAGATAGCCCTACGTTTCAGCCCATCTGACTCTTAACTATGTAATAAACACGGGAGCCGGGATCGCTGATTTCTTTTGAGCCCTAACTGAATACCAGAAACGGGGCTGACCTCTTTCCCTGTGTCATCTCATTTAGCCCTCACAACAGCCCTTTAAGAGAAGAACTATTGTTATCTTCACTTTAGAGTTGAAGAGCGAGGCCCAGAGAAGGTTTTAGGGGTTTGCCAGGAGTCACCAATGAGGAGATAGATGACGAAATCTGACTCAGCCTCCACACCTGGAGCCAAAGGACATGTAACCAATGGGGGAAGGGCGGCCCAGTTGAGTCCACTAGCCACCATTCTTGCTATAGCCCCCAAGTCGCCTCTCCTGTTGGGTTTGCTGTTTCTCACTCCTTCCACCTGGATCTTTAGTTATTTAGGTGGTTCGATTTGATTTGGTTTCCATGGAATCTGTGTGCTCGCCAGGGCTCCCCTGGCAATGCGCTGATATTACCCACAGGCCTTCTGCATGTCGGGAGCAGAGGGGCCGGGGCAGGCAGGGTGATGGGCAGGGTCTTCGAAGCCTGGCTTCAGCTCCGGAGCCTCCAGTCTGGTGGAATTGCGCCAGGGGGACATCGGATCCCTTTTGGGGTGTGGGGGGTGAGTTTTATCCCCTTCTCTTGGAAGCGGATCAGCTCACAGGGAAAATGGAAACAGTAACCTTTTACTAGTTTCTTTCCACATAGTTGCTCTGGTTTTCATGTCCCCTGACTGAAGGTGGGCAGGACTCAGAGGCTTGGAAGTCCTCAGCCCACCCTTTGCCATCCCTGCCCTCCTCCAGCCGCATTTCCCATTGGGACTTAGAGCAAATCCTGTGACAGATGGCAGTGGCGCTCATCTGGGTCAATGCAAAGTGAGGCTTTACCTCTTCTCTGGGGGTTTTCTAGGAGTGGCCTCCTGGTGGAGTGTGGGGAGGAGTGCCTCTCCCACCCAGCACCCCTTGGGGGTGCTCCTCTGACCGTCTCCAAGGTCTGTCCAGTCCAGGCCATCAGGCTGACCTCGTGTTGACACCCACCTCCTGGTGTCACAGAACAGGTGCAGTGGACAGAAGCAGGTTCAGACCAGCTCTGTCGCTGATAGCCACGTGTCCTTGGCCAGTCACCCGGCCAGTCACCTGACCTCCCAGGAGCAAAGCTTTCTAACCTGTAAAAACGGGGGTGGGGTCGGGGGCATCTGAAACAAAGCCTCAGGCTCAGCACACAGCTCCCCTCCTCTGCTGTGGGAATGGCAATCACTCCACTCTTTTTTTCTCTTTTTCCTAATCCAATAAAGATTTGTCCTTGTGTGGGTGCTACAGGAAGAGAACAAGGAACCCCATGTCTTCTGTACAGTGGGTGGCAGGAAGGGCCTCTCCAAGACAGTGACGTTTGTGCTGGGGTCTTTCCAGGCCTGACGCACCTGCGGCACATTTCTGCCGTGTGGGGCCCACGCACGTTTGGGGAGATGCCGGTGTTAGTTCTCTACTCTGTGTGTCAGTGGATCCCGGGACATGTGTGCCCCGTGGATTGCCGGTCTGTGGAGGCGCCGGGGAGATAAAAAGCCATTTGCAGTCACATCAATGGTGGATCTGACTTACTGCGTCCCTCTTTCGAGAGCCGCAATGCACGTCACATATGAAAGTCTTCCTTTCTTCATGTGGCACGTGGCACAGAGTGTAAAACAGATGTCAAAGGGCACAGGCTTTGGACTGGGACAGCCTCGGGTTCAGATCCTGTTGTGCTGTTCCAGCCGTGTGACCTTGGGAAGGTTACTTACCCTCTCTTGGCCTCGGTCGTCCTAATATGTGAAATGTGGACTGTCGTTACCCAACAGACCCCGAGCACCTGCTGTGGGCAGGCAGCTGTGCCAGGGCCTGAGGGCAGAGCTGTAAATAGCGGCCGCCCCTGCCTGTTTGAACAGGTTTAGTTCTGGTTCCACAGCTGTATCATTGTAAGGGCCTCCAAAGAGATGAGTTAGCATCTGTTACCCATCCCACACCAGGGATGCTGGCAGTGATACCCTTGACGCCAGCCGGGGCTGGGTGTCCCATACCTGCCACCAAGGTGGTGCCGAGGCACCTCATTAGAACCCTCCGCCACCTGTACTGAGGATCTGCTTTCCACAAGGTGATCTCCT